TAGGCGGAAATCCATTAAAATGTCAGGGGGGGCAATTATTTTTAACATAAATGTGAGTAGGGGTCTTCGATCCCACACAACTAAAAACTGCATATTTTGGGTGGGGGTAAGCCAACTTAGCCCCCTTGAGATTTGCACCTATGTATCCATAGGTTAACTCACTGTTTAACTGTTCAGTGAATAGGTTACCTATACATACAATAATTATAATATCATATAGAATATAGATGGAAACATGGAATAAGTGCTATATTATTTTTCTCAGGTTTGGCAACTAAGAAATATGGTTTTAATTACCTAATATTTAATAAGGATTAAAAATTCCATGTAAATAATAATTGCTTATTGAGGAAATAACCACATTAGGTATTGTAAAAAAAATACATTTAAGATATCTTAATAGATAAGTGATCACTGACCAATACCAATATAGTACCTAGTACCTATTATACATACCTATAAATGTAAACATTACCGCAAAATTATTTTTTAGTGCATTTTAATGAAACATTTCGTTTAGTTTGTATAAACCATCGCACCCGTTATGAATTGATTTAATACATGTAGGCATTATAAACGGAAACTCTTAGTCCTATTATAGTTTTATGCCTCAATATTTATGACGTGACGTGAATTTTTGTCGTGATTCGACCACATTATAATATGCTTTTGTTCGCTAAGTCACGGCAATAATAACAGTTACTTTTCGATTAACATTGTGGGTATCTATGCGTTTTTTACGAATTCCCAATAATGTTATTTTAAATCATATTATACATTTAGTGATGAAATGTACTGTTTAGTTTGTTACTATAATTAAACTTTAATCTAACGTTCTCACTAACATTTACAAACAATAAAATATTATATTAAAAATGATGTAAGATCTTTTTAAATTTTTTGTTAACTTATTGATGTAGGTACCTAAGTATAGTTTAACCTTAATAATCTTATATATTATGTACATCTGTGCAATTATTATGATCGCTGGAGACGAGCCCTGTCGTAGAACTGTGAACTTGAATTCATAGCGAAAGATAACCGTTTTTTTATCATATTGAAATCTTGCCATTTCTAATCCCATGGCCGTCTTGTATTTGTCGCTCCCCACGCACGGCTGTCGCGGCTCATGACCTCGCATGGCAGGCCGTCCTTAAAACGAAATGTGAATTGCCTTTTTTTTTCAAAATCGAACTGACTTGTGTGTATTCACTATTCGCGTTCATTAGTTAATCGTAATAGGTACATGAAAACATTACAATTTACTAAATATATTAATATTAATATAAAATGATAATATTATGTGTTTACAATATTACTGGATTAACAATAAGACAGTCAACAGTTACGCCAGTTAGGATATCCATTTCAAAACCGCCAAGGACTCCTAACAAGTTAATAATAATCCGTAATACGTAATATATGTGTAATATTACGTATAATTGCAGTTACCACTATTTGGCAAATTACTTTTTTATACTATTCATGTCATAACCATCGATTTTCAAACCTCAAAGTCTTGTATTACTCGTTAGTCGTTATATATATATATATATAATATACATATAGTAGTTCTTTTAAGTTTTGCCTTACTGTTAGTATGGTAGTATATATTATTTAAAAATTTAAAATAGCTTGGAAATTGTCAATAGATTTACACACAGTTCACCCACAAGGTACATACAACGGCTAAGACATTTTAACCAAGTTTTACTTGGTTCATAAAAACCATGTACCTGTGTATATTTTATATAACTTAATATTATAAGTTAATTTTAATATTATCTACCATAGCTAGTAACAAATCAAAGCAAACGTTTCTTTACCTAGTAAAAGACATCATTAATCAAAATAACTATACATTAATTAAAAAAGCCCATTAGTCCATTATTTTAAAATAGAAGAATTTTATAACTTTTTTTTATAATTTTTACAATATTATATTGTTATATTTTATAAACTGTTACTTAATTCTGAGTATTTATAAAATGTCGCGAACATCAGAAGTAAAACTAAAAACACTTTAAGCTTGAATGTTAAAGTAAATAATTTGTAAAACTATAGAAACCCAACATTTGGCGCGAGTCTGTAGGTATTTCGTTAGTAAATAAATAAATATTTAAATAACTATTAGTTCATTATTATATCCCACAACTCATTAATTCGAATCTAGTACATTTCCCCTTGTGCCAATTCCCTCTCAAACATAGATATTTTCCCACCATGCTTATATTAAAAAAATTAAACAAGCTCGAAAACTTATATTATACCTACATTTAAATGTCTATATAGTATTCTTATTATACCTATATTCACATTATAATATATAATTCCTACAGCAACGTCAATAATATAAACAAAAAATGAAATTGAAATAAACTTTTTTTATACCTACCTTTATTTGAAATATTTTTTTGTAATGAACAAGCAGTGGAACGAGTAATTTATTGTCTCCACTCGAGTGTGCGTTTTGACCCAAATCGCAAGTACTACGCGTTCTATATTTATATACGAAACAAAATTGGATTAAACGGCCTGAATGCGGCGATGGAAATGGCTAGATAGGTAATAAACAAAGAGAATAATATAATAAATTATAATATTATCGGTATTTATTCAATTTGTGAATTTCCAATTATACTTTTAACATCTACAACTATAAGTTGAATCTAAAATCCGACTACTGCATCACGCATAGTGGTTCATAAATGACAATAGTTGGCCAACATTTTTAAAATTATCTATTACTTACATAATAGTAGGTATTCGTATTTCTGGATAAAATAAAAAATAAATTAAAATTAAACATTAAATATTAATAGAACAATTTGTATTTTGCTATTTATGGTTATAATATTTTTAATACTCAAATATAAAAAATTCAAATAGATAAAAACCAATCTTCCACATTGCCATCATAACTGCTACTATCGGGATCACATTCACTTTCAACCTCTACAAGTAACAATTTCTTAACTCATGGATAGGTTAGGATTGGTTAGGATAGGTAAGGCTTTCAAACTTCAAGTGCTCAATACAAAGAAAGGAGCAGATATAAGCAACTAATGATGATATTTTTGTAATCAGTAGATATGTATTGTGGTCTAAGTTAAAGTGTTGATATCGTCGTGTAATGTATCAATTTACTCGATAAAAAAAAAATTAATTTGTATGTTTATAAAAGCGTATAGGTTTATTTTCGTATTATTTGTAACATTGTACATTATTAAATAACCACATACGGGTGAATAACAATTTTTATTTCTTAATCGGGTGATAAAATACTACCTTTGTATCTTATCCAAAATAGATAAATTTAATAAAATCCTCAATTTAATTAAATTAAATTTTTTGTAGAAAATTAAATTATACGATGATTATTAATAAATTATAATAGTTTTTATGAAAAAAATATGATTTGTCTACTTCAATTATTATTATTATTTTATGGGTACTTATATATTATAATTATAATTTGCCATAAGTTTTAAATTTCTACACAACTTATATGCCGTATAGAAAATATTTCTACCATCTCTATTTGAGTATTTTCAAATTCAAAATATTGTATTTTGGCTATCTATTTTCATTTTTAAACCACTGTGTGTCGTGCATTATGATTCGGTGAAGCAAACTGCAGATCGAACTAGAACCAGAACTTAATTCTATAGTAAATATAACTAACTCATTAGTTGTACATTCTAATATATACATAATATACATATATAACATATATTATTAATGTGATGATAACATGAGCAGCGTGTCGTTAATGTTTTTATCACATTTAAGTCACATGGGGCCTATCATGACGCGGTGGTAGTATTATAATAATAATAATAAGACCTTTGGATGCCAAACTCCAATTTCTCCATCGATTTGTGTGCCTGGCGGATGTAACGAGTATATGGTGGGTTGTGCGGGGCACCGAGTTCTCGAAGGGTCCGACCGGCGAGAGGGGTGCGTAATACATACGCATACACTCATTACGGCGACACGCCGCGGGACGCGCTTTCTTCCGGTTTAGTAACGGATGCTGCGCATTAGACAACGAACTCGAAGCAGTGGTATACTGTGGAAAAAATTAGACAAGGGAAAACTATTTCATTGTGATAACTGATAACTCGTATATACCTATTGATAAAAACAGAATATAATATAAAATATAAAAAACATTTTCATAGTTTTTTTAAATAAATAGTTTTTATCATTTTTTTTTTACTTTTTACATTGACTATAATAATAATTATATTATGTCTTCAACGTAAATATTATTCGCATATTTTTTCCCACAGCCATATAAGAAGGAATGCCTCAAATTATTATTTGTACAAACAAATCACAATACCAGCCCAGAAGGCTCCAGAATAGTCCCACACTGACCCAAAGTCATAGTTATCTTAGCTCCGTCAGGCATGCATTTTTCATCTACCCCTCCCCCCCAGAACCTGAACCTAACTCTGACTCAGAGACCTACAATTTTCCAACGCTCCTGCCACCGACAATCACATTTTATAACACTGCAGATACACTACAATACCTGAGTGCTGGGCGGTATAGTCGTCGCCCCTCCGTGCCAATAATATTATTATTAGAGAAACCGAACGGCTGGAGATTTCTCAAGTCCGAGAGACCGGAACGCGGGCTTTTTTAACGGTTCCGGCTGCTCCGCCCGGCCAGCCAAGCGATAATTGCGCGCGCGCCCGCGCGCTCGACGACTCGGTGCGGACGGAACCGCGAACACAGGGCTGTCGGCGTCGTCGTCGCCGTTCGCTGACGCCGCCGCCACACGTGTTGCCGACGCGGCGCATCGCGCACACGCGTACACCGCGCTCGTTCGCTCGATCCGTTTCGTCCGTCGCAGGCGCCGCGCCGTCCGGTCCGCCAGCCGTGTGTGTTGTTGTGCGCGTACTTTATATTATATTGTTTTAGGGGAAACGGTTTTTATTTCTGGTTCGCTTTTATGATCTCCGTCGGTTGTCGTGGCGATTTACGTAACCATGCGGTAACGTTATTATATATAACCATCGTGACGCACTCGTCCTCAAGATAATCGGCTTACACAAATTGATAGGTACCAAACTGACGAAGACGAAACATTGCCCATATTATGGAGTTTGCGCTCGGCTGTAGGTGAAGAAAATTGGTTTTTCTATAATATCTTTTACTCTTCTCATATACGTATACGGCTATACAGCTATACCGTAATGTTCTTACGACCAATACATATTTGAACGAGGCCGGCTTACGTGTAGGCACCGCGACAGTTGTAGCAAATTATTATATATTAAACTGTATATCGTACGACTTCGAAAATAATAGGTACCTACCTTCTATACGTTTTTTAAGCCCCAAATTTTGTGCACCTATCATACTATTATCATTTATCATACTCGAGTTAACTCACAGACAACAACGTTCACACGTCATAATAATAATTATGTAGGTATACCATTCTACTTAGGTACCTATATTTAAAGCTACCCATTTTACATTGTTCGTATTACGCTTACCGAAAATCATGTTATACAATAGTCAATAATTATGTACCTACACGTTAATAACGACTAAATAATTGTAATTGTCACTGTAAGTTGATTGGATTTTATAATTACTTTTGCACACACACTACACTGTGTAAATGGTACGAAGTCGATAAAAATGTACCTATTCTCATTTTATTTTCACAAAGTTATTAAAATGTAAAACTGAACGAACATACAATAATCGATTACAATTTAAAAGTAGAACAAAATAGGATCGAATTATTGGTTACGCAATGGTGATTGGTTTAGTAAATTACAATATTCACAAGAGCATCTTCAGGATGCGATTTAATCTATATATCCGCATGCTGCACCAAGTTGTGAGTGTATTGATCTGTTTTCTACAATATGCTAACTCGTTTTAATGTCAACCCATTAGCGTTCTGCCATATATAAGTATATTATAGTGCACAGTTTCCACATAATCTTCATAATCTGTAAAGATTGGAGAATATTATACTATGAATTAGATCCATCCTCTCTTTTTAATAATATTAGTATTGTTATATTTGAAGAACGTATCCAATTACTTTTTAAAATATCAAAAATAATATATGTTGTAAAAGCCGAATGGCGTTTAAAATAATAAATCAATTAAAATAAATAAAATAATAGGTTTTTACTTTTCAGTTAGGTATAATAAATTAATAATTTTAATGAATAAATATGATGATAAAATTGAACAACAAAATGTTTAAGTAGAATTTAATAAAATCAAAACAAAAACATATAAGTAACATATTAGTGCTCAATAAATTGACTATTTTTTTTTTTAGTTTTTTAATTGAGACGTATGTATATTTATTTTTGATGGTTGTACTATATCGTTGTATTCACAAATAATAAAAATCTGTTATGTTATCTTTAAATAGTACTTAGTCACTTTTAAGTTTGATATTTCAATATTTTTTCAGTTTTATTTTCACCTAACCTAGCTATGAATAAAGTTTTTTCAATTTTATAATTTAATATAATATGAAAATTAAATAAATCGCATTTACAATGTGATATCGTTTTATTATTTTTATCTAAATTGTTATAATTTCTACGTTTAAACAAACATGTAGCTATCATTTCTATTAGTAAAAAGATAGTAAGTAATTTTCATAATATAATATATTGTACAATTTACATAGCTTTGAGTGATTGTTCTTGAAATGTTGCCGTACGTACCTATATTATTTATCCATCGAGTACATTGAATGTTTAACTAATATATAGATATAAAATATAAATTGTTTGTATTATTATGGATAAGAATTGATTTCATCTCTTTAGAACATTAATTCTATTAAAGATAAGTACTATTACTTAAGTTTTAAATTTCAACTGGAAGTCTAAGAAATGTTATATAAGTACAAACTGTTGGTACAGGTACCTAAAGGCACATGTAACCTGACTAATTAGTCCTTCTAAAAAAATATAAATTTCAGTTATTGTGTGCATTTCGTGATTCAAATATACCTATTATTTATAATACATTTATACAATATAAGTAGGTAACTGTTATTTTTTAAGCTTATTTTTAGCCAAATGATACTATTTTCTATTTCGACTTTGAACCATTCATATCGTTGACTCTAAATTGAATCACTACTATAAATTGAAAAATACACATATCAAATAGTAAGTAGGTACCTATACTGTTAACAAACGAGCATGATTAATGGAGAGTCGGAGATATATATATATATTTATACAGATGAATAAAACATTAGTAGGTATACTATTTATTACAATATATATACAAAAGATGCTAAAGTTACTCTACCCACGCCGAAATCATATCTTGATAGATCTGCGGTACACACTTAAATAAATTTCCTAAGTCTGAGGTTTGTCATAAAATATAGTACTCCATCCAAGGTTAAACTAAATATCATTAAAAACTAATCTAGGTTCTGCCAAAATAATTAATTCTGTAGATTTAAATCTGATATTTAAAAACCATTAATTATTATTGTATTAGAAAAACCACCGATATTTTAATTTGAATATCTATAGTAACAACTAATAATAACAAATAACCTATATATTCATCAAATTTTGACAGTCGATTTCTATAAACTACTCAACTGGAATTCAATAGAGTTTGAACAGTCTACTCATTAAGCAAAACGCCAATCACTATTGCCATCCCACATTTCCGAAAACAACAATTTCATATTTAATTCATTTAATTCGTTACCATCATAGACATAATTATTGCTATGTACATGGGGACATAACTTCCTTCACTGAACTTAGAAGGCCGACGGCACACCCATCGACAACGCTTCAATGATTCAGTACACTGTAGTATTGTACAATATATATTTTATACTTACGAGTTATGACTGTATACTCGACTGTATATATAGTTATATATACAAGGGTAGTACTTATTTGTAGAGGTTGATTATTTTCTTAACTTTACCGCATAATTGCATACTGTTCCATAAACAATATATTGTTTGTAATTTGTCTCGATCGTTTCTTACACTTGGGCATAAAATATTGCAGGTGGAAATTAACTCTAACCAGATTTTTCTATTTTCACTACTCTCAGAATCTCTATCAACGTATAATTATAACCATGAATCACGTTTGTATAATTTACTCCCGAAATTAAATAACTAAAAATTTAATCTACAAAAATGAATGTTAAAAACTTCAACTATGTACAAACTATACATTTGATCTTTGATGTTGAATAATAATAACAGTGTTACTAATTAAATCATTTGTATATTTTCAGTTTTTACTCTTTTCGTATAGTTTTAAATAGTAGATTTCAAAAAATATACAACATAAGTATGCCAAAGTTGAAAGTTGATTTCAATTGTTTTAATTAACATCATGAGTGGACTGGAAAAAGTTTTTGCTTTTGAATTGTACCTACTGAATTTCAAATCGTTACGTAAACGTCACAGAGACACAGTAGATAAAAGTTTGTTAAATTTTTTTTTTTAAAAACGGGATTTATACATAATTTACACGGCTACACTTTATTAGTTATTATCTACAACAGATAGTGTAGTTCAACTTTGGCCACGGTGTAAAAATCTAAAAAAGGGTCCCGTTCTCATTAACTTTAAATATATTATTTATATTGTTTTAAAGGTACCTACATCAGTTTAGATTATATAAAACGGTAAAACTTTAACACTTTGAGATTTTTAATTAATACCTACCGCCTAAAATAATAAAAAAAATATCGATATTTTTTTCAACTTTCAACATATTAATATTTCTGCTATTGACCAAAAAAATTATCCAGTATTCTGAACGTTGGTTAGCCCTAATGCAGTCGCATTTCCTTCGTTGGCCTATTTACGTCACATACCGATTGCTGATAACAGTATAATATGTATACTATAACTTTTCCAAAATACTATCTCCGCAGAATGTATACATTTTTTTACTTTTTATACAACCATTATTTTTCCACCAAAGATTTTCGTCGTCACGCATCACCGTGTATCTGTCGGAGTGTCAGCCAGCCGGTCATTTCACCGTTGACCGAACTCCGAAACTGTTATTCGCGTATCGGTTTCGTTATTATGAATTATAATATGATATCCCTACAAATTACAACGAACAACAATATTATAATAATATATTTATGTACTGCAAACTAATAAAATATAATATAATATTTCAGCAGTACACACTGCTGAAATGTTCTCATTTAATATAATATATAATGAGTACCGATATGTGTTGTGTTTTATTATTATTAGAATTGCATAATTCCAGAAGATCCGATAGTAATATGTCATCCATCGCGCCTGAAGACCGACCGTTCATATTCCGCGTCAACGATAACGGCACTGGCCCAGTTCTGCTCATACAGGTAATTGGTAAAGTTCGGTAGTGTGCATATAACATACAATTTGGGAACCCCTACGTATAGTGGTTTAAAAATATTTTCCAGTCTGCTGGCCGTTTTATAGGAAATCCATAGGGCGTTGGCGTTTGAAAGTGTTTATTTTCTCCACACTTCACTAGCCCCGGTGTTGCGCCTAAAAAAAAAAAAAAAAACAATAAAAGAACTTTATGTAGGTACTCGAAATCTATGGTATAAATTTTATCACCCGATCGATAATGCCATCTATTGTACGATGTCCTTTGTTTTTTCACGAATGTTATATCCTCTCATTCTGCAATCTAATATTTTTCTTATAAAAATTCAAACGATATAATATTTCCTTGTTGCTGTCTTGCCCTTTAATAAATGTCACGAACCTAACAACATCGTAACAGCAATTATTATATTTGCGAGTTACAACCGCTTCAGTAGAAAAATAATTAATATAACATCAAACAACGGAACTTGCAGGTTTGTTATTTACGTACGGCATGCACGTCGTTCCCTACATTTGGTTAATATGTCCCTATAACATTTCTGTGGAATTAGCCTTGACGGCATAATTTGTCATTTAAGAATTTTATTAAAGGCTGATTCGTTACAAAACATTTGGTTTCGTATTTTCGTACAAAACGACAATAGGAAATAATATGAAAAAATATAACCTATAATATCTAACTGCTAAATCAACTTCAATAAATGGAAACGTCTTATCCTTGGTATAAAATGCGATTGCCGCTTTGAATAATAAATCGTCGCTTGGACTATAAGACAACGTCTTATTATACATTTATACTATGCACACATACACACAAGCAGAGAATAAAAAAAACTAAACGTATAACATGTTTTAAAAACACTAAATTAAAATCGACCACGTGCACGGTTATATACTATAAATAGAAGAATTTTAATCATCCGGCAAAAAAAAATAAAATATACAAGCCATAATACACATATAATTTTATTTGCTGTAGCCATTGCGTCTTGTATTTTTCATTTCTAGATCATTAAAATATTTTCATCGCATATTCAGTATTCTTTTTTTTTCACTTTGTACACATAAATTGAATGTATTCGTTTTATAGTTGGAAAATTAAAACGTTTAACTTTTTCACAGTAACAAAAGGTTATGAAAGCCATATGTATCAAATAAATTATACAACTATACTATATATTATGTACCCGCTGTATTATAATATTATCATGTGTATCATTTAAACAAAACTAACAATTTTCAGCATTGTACTGTTGTATGTAGATAAATGCAAATGTACAATATTATACGTCAATACTAACATTTAATAATTAATAAAAAATATTGAAAAGCTAATATAGTTAAATAATTATGTAAATATTAACTAGGTGCCTAGGTAGTATAATAAAAACTCTACTTTGTACAATAAGGATTTAATAATATTTATCATTAAATATCAGTCTTATAAAAAGTAATTTCGTATATTTTATGTAGGTAATATTATGATGATTTTTAACATAATATCTTAAACCTATGATTTATGATAAAATATACGTCATATAGTGATATGTGTCTATAATTACAAATAATCTGATGGAAACTGACATACAAACTATAATAATGGAAAATGTTTAATTAAAATTTACTATATAATTTCTGTACCTATATAATATTATGTATAAGATAGTTTATTTAATTATTTATAATGTACATAATTTTACAAACAAAAGTGAATTACTTATACGCATGAATTTCAAAATACATCGTGTATTGTGCATCTACCAAAGTACCTATACTGGCTATACTTATATAAAGTAAGTTATATTTTTATATATGCTGTATGTATCAGTTTTAAAATCAAACCGTCTCTCACAACATAATTTACCTTATTTTTAAATGGTATAGGTATTCTTCATAATTGTTATTATACATGTTCATTAGTTATTACTTATTTCTAGAACGAATTCCACAAATACATATTAACTAAATCATGATTTTTAAATCGTGTTCAATGTAAATCCTATAAGTCTATAATTATTAGCTATTGCTTTAATAATATACATCATAGATGCATAATTGTAACAACCTTATTAAAGTTATTTGTTAAGCATACAATTCGAATTTATTGATTATTGATATAGAAATTTTTTTAAATTAAAACAAGTACAAAAAGTAGTCTCCATTTTTATTGATTGGGCATTTTTAAAAGTATAAACATTTTCTTATGGCAGTTTAATAGTATTACCGTTGATTATAAACACTATTCTTATATAGTACCTATTTATAATAATTGGTGTTATCAAAAATTATAAATTTGAACCTTGAATGCAATATAAAATAGGATCTAAATAATACAATTTTAAATTATGTTCTCTTTTATTTTAGTGTGTGTATTTTATGCATCGACCATTGTTTTAAAACATATTACCTATCTACTAGTTAACTTGATAATATTTGTTTAACAATTATAATTAATCGTTTTTGAGTTAAACGAAGCCTGACGGTGCTTTTTTTTGCTTTTAAATCCAATGGGCAATATGTCACATCATTATAAAACACATGTACATAAAATTTAAATACGAAATAATATGCGCATTATATACATATAATTTATAAATAACACCAAAGCCACCATCTATAACTTCAGTCAGATAGCACATTATTTTTTCAAGACGCGTATAAACGCGTTCGTATTTGAACTAATAATATAAGGAGAAGCAGTAATTTTTTTTTTACAATAAAGCATAAACGCACATTGACATTGCACATGATAATTTATGAAGGGGTAAATAAAGGGTGCGGTCCAATATTTGTTCACTGCACGATAAGTCAGTTTTTGAAAACGTGCATAATGCATATTATTTGCCTACTATACTTGTATAATAAAGTATTAATTCTGTATGTAGTAGATATGTGGGGTACTATACTACTATATACCTAAGGTGTATGTGTATTTTTCTGGTCTGTTTCGTGTGTAAACTTTACTTTTAAACAGTATGTTTAAATAATAATAATAATAATAATGATATACCAAGAAAAAACTAAACAATTTTAAAAGTACCAAACTTGGCTTGCATTATTTTTTTATATACGATTATTCACTTCCGACGACAGTGTATGAATTGCCCCCCCCCCCATTGTGTTTCTACGATCAGAAAAAAACACCTATCGTCGACGTCATTGTTATGATTATTATTAATATTGTTATTTATATAGATATTTCTAGCTACACCTATGATTATTATTATAAGCTTATAACGATGGTGAAGTATAATGCAATACAGTCTAAACATTTCAATTAGTGTATATTATTACTATATACAATTTAACAGGAGGGTGTGTGCGTGTGTGTGTATCGCAATGTTTATTTTCTGTCAGTCGGAAGTCAACTTGGTCTCGGGCGTGGGGCGGTGGAGCTAGCAGTGGGGGTGCAGGTAGTGGTTACTGGTTACACACCGCAGCGTAGGGAATGTGAGAACATTGCACAGGACGTGTGCGAACACATACCCAATAAATAATCGTATATAATCCGATTATCCAGTGTAATAATTTTAACAATTTTTTTATCCCATTGTGTAATAATTGTTATCATTTTTTTTTTCTACCTTGTCACTTACAGGTGTGTCAAGAACGTGGCTGGAAAGAATACGATGGTACTAAGAGCGGAGACTCCGCGTGGTCGGTGCCGGCGGACGAGTATTGGAACCTGTGGTGGAAATCGACTGGATTCTCATTGTCACACTATAAACAGCAGAAAATATGGCAGGTATGTTCGGTATATATATGGTATTGGTATACAAAGTATGTGCGTGTGTTTTTGTAAATTATTTCTTGTATGATGTGTGTGAATGTTATTCGCCGGCACACATTGTCAAGAGATCGCGTAAGTTGACCTGATTCCGAGGTAATATATATATTTGTTTTTAACGCATCGATTGAACGCAGCTGTCTTTGACGTCTCTGCGCCAAAAACTAAACGATGCGGATTCTGTTCATACACAAAATACATATACAATATACATACGTCATGCACAATAATATATATATACCTATTACATATTATATTATGAGCAAAGTAAAAAATATTAATACATAGGATATATTATATACTATATATATATTTACAACTTGATGAAGTTATGCAAGTATATACTATAATATTTAATTTTGTTGTTAAAACTTTGACCCGCCGTGAACCAGGCGTTATGATATTATCATTATTATACACTGCCGCCTCGTCAAAACAATTTTATTATATTCTTACTGGTCAAAAGTGCCAGACGCAGAATTTTCAGGTTTTCTACGTTGCTTGTAATAGGTAGGTAATATTATATAACAGCTGTTATAGTCCAATTTACATTAATCTTCCTAAACGACAGTGGACATAATTGACAATATCGTTAAACGTCGTGATCGTAGTATTTTTTTTCTCCAAAATTCTCCACTGTAAACTGTACTTGGCGATTGTGCCTGTACATAGTGTGTATATAATTAATTATGTAATAACGTCGTTCGTACAAAAAAAAATCTTTTTTGTGCTTCGCGGTCGCACATTATATTTATATTTTATATTATGACGGTGTGATACATTAATACTACATCGCTACTGTGACGACTATTTAAAAAAAAATGTTCATCACGTGTTTGACGAAAAAAAAATACCTGAATAAAATTATTATTATTATCGCTAGGTGAATTTTTTTTTAAATACCCAAAAGAAATCGTAATTAACTCGTTACAGTTTTGAGTTCATTCGCACAATTCGCACTTGTTTGAAACTAATGCATATCTCACTTCTCATTATATCTATACGATTTATAAGTTTATCAATTGTATGAAGAGAAAGTATGATAAATAAAAATAATATCAACGAGTTATTGTAGTACTTTTAAAAATAAAATTTTAGTGCACCTTACTGTAGTTACCTAATATTCTAGTGTGCATGTTTAGGTATTAAAATTAATATAACGTTTTTTTTTTTTTTTGTTCAAAAATGTTACCTAAATTGTTACGGTTATTAATAATATTATATTATATCCAATTAATACACATTTAAATACCATGTACATATGTATATTGTTAGTCTTATTGGATTTAACTTTGTTCAAATATATTTTCAAATGTTCGTGTGTACGAAAATCTAAAAATGCTTATTTATTATATAATACATATTTCCAACACTTGAGACTTTAATTTTATAATATTATTGATTTATATTTACGTATGTAAATATATGTGCATTTATAATATTGTTTCCACTTGGGGACTGGGGTATACAATTAAATATAACGGTTATAATAGATTCGGCATGAATACAATTATTATTTTTAACTAAACGCAATACTTGAATGTCAATGTACGTATATTCGTAGTAATAGTGTGTAAGTGTGTTATTTGCTTTTACTGTCTATTAGTTCAACAACCACATACCCAGTGGATCAGCATTATGCCGGAAGGACAACTTGTGGCGGTATTTGAAATGCATGAAGAATATATTCGGCACTTCACTGTTCGGATTCAGGTAATGGGCATTCAAATAGTTTGATTTATATTATGAAAATATCGAAATTCTTTTTACGAGGTAAACAATAATAATAATAGGAATAATATAAAAAAAAAAATAATCTAAGAGCAAATAATATACAATATAATAGGTAGGTATAAGTATTGATACAATTACTGTATGCACGCAAGTGTTCGTATTGCATATGAGATACGCCTCGTGTATTAAAAACGTAATTCAAAATAATAATGTTACATTGGGTTTTCATATGGGGTGGTACGATATAAAAACACGAAAATGAACACTGTGTCGTTTAATACAGAACAGTTTATTTTATATAAATGCTTACCCCTATATTACTATGTAACAACTAAAAAGTCCATAGTTCCTATTGGAGGATTATTCTGGTTATAAATCTGGCTGCAAGTCGAGTGCAATAAGCTTATTTGTTAAAACCCTATTTTATTTATTTTATTAATTTTTATAAGAGACTTGAGTTAATTATTTTTTAATTAATTAACTAACGTAATTAACCTCATTAAACCATGCGTGAAATTGCGAATTTTTCAAATGTAGTTTTCAGCGGTACTTCATCTTAGTACAATATATTTTCATTCATAATTTAGTCATAGACCATAGTCATGTGAATGATAAATTAACATATTATCTAATAACATAATACACCATGATATTAAATTAAGTTGTTTTAATATTTTACTCGGTGATTATTAATTTAGTTATTATTTAAAAATTATATATGAAACATAAATCTGTAATTTTTTTCTGTGCCTACCAATTAATTACGCTGAAGCTTAATTAGAGAGTATACAACTTAGAGGGGGCTATAAAAAATAAATCAATGTAATATAACAGCTATAGTATACCTATTTTCCTTTATAGAAGTTAAAAATAATTAGCCACGTGCCAGTATAAAAAACTGCAATCATTATATGTAAAATATTAACATATTATCTGCATTCTACATACTATATGGCGTATGCAGCATACCATACTATAGTTGTAAGCGTGAGTATAAATATGCAAGTACCTTTGTAATATTTCGTGACTAAAAGCTACTGACATGGAAAGTTTTCATAAACAAATAAAATGGGTCATGATATCATAATACTAATGTCTAATTATACAGTAGGACCAGTATAGGTACATTACAGAGTGTTGAGAAGTGAATGTTTTCTAAATGCATCTATGTGTTTAAGTTTGAGTATGTTTTAAAATGTAATTAGTCATCACTCATCAAATCAGAGAATTTTCCATTGAGGGTCAAGTGTTCATTACATAAATACGACAGTCTGAATGTAAATTAATAATTTTGTTTTAAACGAAATACAGTGAAACCTCTGTCTACGGACACCCCTTAGTAGAGAGTTCACTCTCAAAATCTAACAGTTCTAAATTCCCCGGCCTAAATATACGTGAGAAAATACCCCTAAGCACTGTAAACAGGCACATTTTAATTCCCCTATATAGTGTCCGCAATTGTGAGGTTTCTCTGTATTATGTAGTAGTTCACACCCAAATATCAAGTAAAGTTAAATTAGAAGTTGTATAATTATAATCGGTTATAGGCATTTCTAACTGAGAGAGCTAACAAAAAAAAAAACACCATTACAATACAATAACAACATAATATGAACTATGAATAAGTAGCAAATACCTAATATAGCGATAATGTTTTGTATTTGGTATCCATTGGTTATTCACTGGTAACATAATCATTAACTACCTAATATAATATGTAATTGTATGTGTCTGTCAAGTGGTTAGGGTGGTTTCTTCAATTGGGAAAAATTACCCAGATAGGGGTGGGCATTATCATCCCCACACGTCACACACGCGATCCTTATTCAGGTGTCGGTTTATACATTTCTTCATAAACGGCACATATAATATTATGAAATAATAATAATAATAATAATACATACCTAGTACAAGTTATATTTTAGGCCCTTGTACATAGTGCAATAGAACAATTTTATTTCGCCGTGACGTGTTAAACGGTCATAAAACTTGTGACTGGTTATTTCCATTGCAAAGGGCAGAAAAAAAACGCAGGCCCCCCTGATAACATATTTTTATCTAAATTGTTCCATCGGGTAGGGAAACTAAAAGCTATTTTTGGACTATAGTGTAATGCGTATTCCTCCTATATTATGTCACGACATCACGGAAACCGTCCTATAGTAGGGTTGATTTTCATATATAATAAGTTTTTTTATGTCGAGTTAATATTATATACTTTAACTTAAATACTTTTTATATTTTTATGGTGTTGTCCCCTTCCTTGCCATGAACTATCAGCCCAGACTCTTACAACCTACCGCTAGAGTATACAAAGTTAGCTGCCGAATGTAGTCATGACACTGACGTCGGCGAGAAGTCGATTTGGATATGCAAACCGGTTGGTCAAAGTCAAGGAAAAGGCATATCTTTGATTTCGGTATGTATTATAATATCAGTTGTATAATATAAAATATATATTGTAAATAACTACCTTCGTCGAACTCGACTACGCGGCTATACTCGGGATAACAATGTATTTCGAAAAAATGTCTTGAAAAAAACAGGCTTTACCTAAAACCTGACTCCACCTAGGTGATGAATTGATTCTTATAAAAAAAAGTGGTATAACTTTACAAATGGCGCCACAGTTGACAGCCTATTTTACAGTTCACTTTTCCTGGGGGAGGAGTTTGTCGACCCTATATAGCCTTTTTTGAAAAATTATCCACAATATTATTCTTATAACTGCATGTAAATCGAGTCTGTATATAGTTTTGGAGGTTATTTTATACAAACATAGCCACATAAAGAACACTATTTTATAATATATACGATTCTATATTGAAAAAATGACTCGATATATATACAATGCATACTATACATGCAGTATAATAATATTAAAATTAGACAGCAAGACCAAAGTAGTTAACCCAACGAATACCACAGTTTAGAGTCGTTTTGTTGCTCTTATCTAAGTTATAATAGCTTATATTATATCATTATGTTCAAAGCAAATCGGCGAGCTCGTTTATGACACCAACATCGTGGTCCAGAGGTACGTGAAGAATCCTATGCTCATCGGCGGATACAAATACGATCTGCGGTTGTACGTGCTGGTGCCGTCTTTCCATCCACTCACAATATACGTCTACAGGGAGGGACTGACCCGGTTCAGTACCGACAAGTATTCACTGAATAACCTGGACAACCACTTTGCGCACCTGACCAACAGTTCGATCAACAAGTTGGGTCCGAACTATTCGGAAACCAAAGAGAAAATCGGACTCGGTACCTAATTATTATACTACAACCGCACTGGGGTTAATATTATTTTGTTTTAGCGTGGGAGTTGACTAGTTGAGACATATATTTTTTCGGGACAACCGGTTATCATTTAAACTATTGTATGCTACATATAGGTATCCGAACTATTGCAATAATTATAACCCTAGGTCCTTATATTTGAGCATGACATACAATTTTAGTTTTAAAAGTTTTTTCTTTTTGTTCATGTCAACCATCATTATAATATTATAACTCACGTTTTTTCGTCTGCACTACAGGATGCAAGTGGACGCTCCAACAGCTCCGACAGCATATACGCCAGGCCGGAGTCAACGATTGGCTGTTGTGGCAAAAGATATCAGTTCTCGTCAGCCTTACGTTGGCCAGCCAATGCACAGGCATACCGAGCACGTCAAATTGTTTCGAGTTGTACGGTTTTGACATACTGGTCGATTCTGATTTAAAGCCCTGGCTTCTAGAGGTATGTCACCAATGCCGTTATAATTAACCTTATATCGGGAATGGATTATCGAACTTTTCCAAGGTTTGAAGTTCGAACACATCGAATTTTAAGAAACTCAAATAGTTTATATTCGAGAAAATAGCAAGTTTGATTTTTAATTTGATAATCTCGAACAATATTCGAGCATAATCAAATTTAAAATGTTTGAGAATGACATCAGATTAATCTGAAGTTATTTTTTGTTAAGTGTAAACACTATTTTACTACCTACCTTTCTTTCAAAATTCATATGGTTTATATAATATTATTCGAACTTTTAACTTATTAAATATTTAAATGTTCGAATAAAATTCAAATTTGAGAAAAAATTAAGCTTCGGTTCGTGAAATAAACTTAATTCCGTTTTATTCGTATTATTTCATCAAGGATCGCGCTACCTATAAAAAAAAAAGCCGATAATACACACATTATAATATATATAATATATATACTATATAGAAAATACAAATAAGTCTGCAAGACTAAGATATATTATTTTTTAAATATTAATAGTTATTACTTATTAGTATATAACATAAGGATATTTTGAATTTGATCTATTATGATATAACGTTAAAAAAAAAATAAATAATAATATTAAGTTTGGATGGCCATATCGGGAAAACTTCATATTAAAAATAAATATAAACCGAGACATGTTATACAGCATGAAAATTAAATATCCCTAGTATTTTTATAGTTGATATTGCGTCCATTTAATTATTTGTATTGTACACTTAAGTATTATCACTTATATAGTGACCCATATGTATTTGCACTTAGTTCTGAGACTTCGTTTGAACTAAAATAATTTAAGCTCTAATAATTGTTGCTCGGTAAAATAATTAATTCGATAAGAAAAAAAAACTTCAAACATACACCCTGGACTGTATAACGAACACTATTACTGCCATAATAATTACATTTACTTTGAATTTTATTATTCGTAATTTTCCCGTTTATCTTTTTTATGGTGGCTATTCCGCACAACTTCATTGACGCTAGACACGAGGAAATTAAGCACGCGTAACATTGGCTCCGACGCTTTTCGTTTAAATAGTTATAGGTATAATATGTGTTTCCTTTAAAAACTGCAGTTCGTTTGCTCTAATTAGACTATTATTAGACTAAAACTTTTGAATTTCGAAACGACAATTATTATACACTGCGCGGTGTGCGATTATAGAGATCCCAAATTCCGAAGGTTGCGAAAAACATAATAATTGACCTATATAACCAACACACTGGAATCAGTCGAATCGTATACCTGCAATTGGCGGACGATGATTGTTAATTGCTGCACATTGCAGGTACCTATATCTAACAGGTATTTGATGGGTTAAAAAGACAAAACGATATTATCGGGATATCTTAGAAATTGCATAGTTTCAAATTTATATTATCGACTAAGAGGTGTAGCTAAAGAAACATTTACATTTTGCATTACATAACACATTACTATCATAAAATATTGTGTTGCGACAGTCACTGACTGTTTTAACGAGAAAAAAAACGATTGTTGCAGGTGAACCTCAGTCCGGCGCTGGGCAACGATTGCGACGTGGACAATCGGGTGAAAAGGCCGCTGTTGCACGACATGTTCGACCTGCTCGGGCTGCCGATGTGCAACACCGGTTTGTCGCTGTTCCGGATGGCGTGCCGGTCGGCGTCGGGTCCACGGTTCGGCGACGGACGGCCGACCGCGTTGGCCGCCGCGGCCACGGAAAAGTGGAAGTCGAAACGCAAGACGAACAACAACAACGCCGCCGCCAACAACAACAACAACAATGTTGTCAACAACATCAACGCTTCGAAGAAGGACTGCACGGCGCCATTGACGTCGACGGCGCAGTCACAGTCGTCCGCGCGTCAATCGACGCTGTACGGTCCGGGCAAGCAGCGCGGAGCTACCACGGCGCAGCGCGGCCACCGCCGACCTGTGCAACTCTCCGTTTTCGTCGCCGGTGTGGGGCAACGGTCGGGACTGGAGCAGGCCCGCCGATTCGGAGGGCGACTGGGTCCGGGTATTCCCGTTCGTGCCGTCGCCTCGGCAATTGCCCCGGACCGGCGTCCGGCCGTCGCAGCAGCAGCAGTTCGCCCGCAGGCCTGCGTCGTCGTCGCCGTCCGAGACGGGCACGGCCCGCGCCACCATCAAGACCATTCAAGAGTACCTGAAGTGTTGCAAGAAGGTGGCCAGGTCCTGCGAGGGTCTGTCCGTTGTGCCGGACGACGAGCTCAACGACAAACTCAGAGACCTATTCCCGGCCGCGACGATGACGTGGCTGCCACCCCACTGAAAGACTTTATTTTGATTGTAATTCGTTAGCCACCTACTTAAAACGTATATTATTTAATATGGATTATGTTATATCGATTGTTATTGCGTATATTATAATATCGTTTATGTTATATTATTGTTAATATACCTGCAGTATATATTTTTTATAATATTTATCAATGAATACGGTTATTTCGAATTATTATCAACTATTAAATATAGGTAGGTAGGTAAAAATAATTGTAATATAATATTTTTTTTCCTCTTCTCGCCCTCTCCAAATTATTATATTATATTTAAAACTTAATCTTTAGATCCATAATGACATTGTGTTCTGCGAACAGAAACGTTGCTACATTATTTTCCATGTTGGGTTAATAATATTATAATAACCTATACATTGATGTCTTGCTAATGATATATTTTTCTTCCCATCATAATGTTTTAATCTACTTGTAATATAGCTGTATAATAATATATAATATAATAGTATAACACAATATGACGTTATGTACGTACTACGTTCGTCATTTCATCGTGACAAATACCATTTTATTGAATTAGTATTATATACTACGTATAAATTTGTTTCAATGTTACGCATGAATAAATATATTATAATAATAATAAATAATAATATAATTTGATGTCTATAATATTGTCGCTGATCCAATTTACTATACATACGAGTCTGAAATATTATAATATTATATTAGTATATACTATATTAACTACATTGTTTTTTATTTTGTTGTTGTTGTTGAATATAATATACCATTATTTTTGAGAACGGCTTGCTCAATAATAAAGAATATTAATTATTGTTGTTAATCGCTATATGGTAAAGATTAATCCTCAAAACCATTTCACCATCATTCAACGGGGTTACCCTTACTGTGGTTTCTGCCTCTGACTTAACTCGTCTATCCCACCCTCTTCCCGTGCATATTCGTGGATATTAAAATTAATTTTAAGGATCGATTGTTGTCGAAAATATAAAATGTTAAATACTTATAACCAAAACACTTTTCTTCTTATAATTCGAGCAAAAGTTTTTGGTGTGTAGCGTAATGTTAGGTATCATATTTTAATTATTTTGTATACTGTAACTCGTATCAATACAGTAGCTATATCTATTATACCTACTATCGATAAGTATAACTGGAATGCAAACATACAAAGTAAAAACTGAAGCTATAATATTACGTGCACTGATAATACTTTTAATTCAACAACTTATCGAAGAATATACAATAAGTGCGTATGACCTTTATAAATGTATTAATATCATAATAAGTACAAAAAGTATAATTTTCTTTTAAAATTCGAAAGTTTTTAGTTTTTCCCTAAAAAAAATTTACTCAACCAAAGTGTATTCTTATATAATGTATATAACAACTTATTTTTTTCCCAAGCAATCGTTCAAAGTCAAATAACAACATGAACGCTTAAGAAAATGTTCAGAAATAATAAAATATGTTTATGTGATATTATAAACCCGCCAGGTATTATTTTAGCTAATAATAATAAATATAGTCAATAAATATAATATATTTCATGACCAAATCATGATTAAAGTTATAACTTTTTTTTTTTTTATTGTTCAAAATGTATATTTACAATCTGGATTTACACGTTATACAATGGGTAAATTTGATGTGGTTTGATTTTCGGGAGGGGGAAGTCAACCAATGGCGGCACGCCTTGAAATTATAACTTATAGCGCATATACCCAATTCATTATTATACTATACCTATACAAGTATTCAACAATGTATAAAATATTAAAAATTTTATCAATGTAACTCAATATTGTTTATTACGAAACAACAATTAATATACACGTTGTAATGAAGTATAAACAAAAACATGAATTAAATGAGCGAGGTATTATCCGTCTACAATAAAATACGTAGACTACATATTTATTAAATATCAGAAATACAAAATTCCAACATTATTTTGTATGACTACAAAAAATACATTTATGAATACACAAAAATAACAAACTTTCACTTTAAACAATAATTAAAATAAAAAAAAAGTAATGAGTTCAAAACTAATGTATCACTTTCGTTTCGCGTGAGTTAAATTCCGGTAAAAATAATTTGGCACTGTAGTAGAATAAGCCTACTCGAGGTTATAAATAATAGTAAGCTCGGTCCCGATTTTGATTACTTACTACATTTAGTTTATTTTCTGTATTAAACGTAAAAAATGTAATTACATGGTTAGTCGTACAAAGTTGACAATATGAAATAATTTTTCAAAATAGATTACATAATTATAAAGATATAATATTATATTATATAAGCAGTATTATGTTAGAGTTATAATACAGTATATTATGACGTATTTATGTCAAGCCGATAGTATCCCGGAACCGTATCTTTAAAGTATTATAATTATATTATTAGGTAGTAGGTACCTCCTATATGATGTATACTGTATACAGTGTATATTGTATACGATATATAATATTAGTATAAACTAAGGAGATGATATTTAAATTAAACTAGAATATAAATGCAGTAGTAAGTAAATCATTAATTTCATTGAGTGGTAGGTAGTTAGAGGGAAATTATATCAGACAATCAGACCTATCCTATAATATTTATAGAACTTATCCTAAACTACCACTAAAAACCTTATAGATATTAGTAGGTTGTGGGTATACCGTATATGTAATAATTGAATACGTAAAAACTATAAATAATACAAAGTTGTCTACCTACGTATTATCAAAAATGAGTAAAATCATAACGAATAGGTATATATTAAATAGTAAAGAATGTACTAAAAAAATGTTATTGAATCACAGATTATTATATACGTTAAAATAAAGAAATTTAATGGGTTAAGAGATGAATGTAATAAAGGTAAATCATAAATGCTATAGATATATCAAATAAAAATTCATGCTGAGTATAACGTACTGGGCTGAACGTTTCTTTTCGATATATCGAACTATATATAGTCAACCGAAGTCCCTAATATAATATAACATTTGAATATAGTTTTCTTTGTCAAGCAATTCTATGAAAAACATAATAAACGAGTAAAAAAAAAACATAAAATTAATTTAGTAACAAAAATAGACAATAAATAATTCGTTGTAAAAAAATAAACGGTACATATTCTAGCGGATATTATACGACTTTAAATAACCACACCATAACTTAAAATAATTCGTTTATGTGGAGATGCATATAACACTAAATTATAATAATATATTTCAGGACGCTAAATAATGTCTAAGGGACCATTAGCTCACTATTGACTCGTTAAATGCTTAATGATCGTATAATATGCGACCCGACATTAGTCTCCGATACATCGCGTCGGGCTTCAGTGCGATATGCTCGCGGGCCGCCTGTGTTCGAGCACCTTCCTGAGCTGTTTGCGGGTGTTGCAGGCCACGGTCAGCGAACAAGACGCGGTCGGGTGACCGGCGACTGTCGCGGCGGCGGCGGCAGCGTCGTCTGCGGAACTGGTACAGTTACCGTCCGGCGAAAAAGTTGGTTCTATCACCTGCTGTTGAAGCGGGAGGCTGGGAGCCGGTACAGGAAATGTGGGTTCGAACACTTCCAGCTGCGGGCTCACCATGAGCGAAGCGACCGAACTGTCGAGACAGTGATCTCCGTCGTCGGCCAGGCTGAGTATGAGCTCTTCGACGCTGAACTCTTCTGCCACTTGCAGCGGTTCGTCGGTGGTGACCACGTGGTGCGGTTCGCACACCGCGAAATCCGTGTCCGGTTTGGACACCAGGATGTCGTCGAACGGTATGAGTTCCACGGCTGCCGCCCCCGCCGACTCGGCGTCCGACTGCTCGACGGCCGTCACTGTCTGCCGGACGGGCTCGTCGACGAACTGCAGTTCCTGCACCGTCTCTGTGGCTATCGACATAGGCGGCGGCTGGCTCGAGTCGTCCTCCGTCACCGTCTCATAACTGGCGCCGTTGATCACCGGCATCATCAGCAGGCTGGACATCAACTCGCCGTTGTCCATCACGCACAAGCTGATCGTGCCGTTGGCGTCCTGGCCGACTTTCTGCACGTCAACGTTGCACTCAACCGACAGCTTGACCGGCATGTCGTCGTCCGGCTCGGCCAGGATCATCTTTTGCACGGTAGCCGTGCTTGAATCCGGGCCCGCCCCCGTGAATGTCCGTATCGCGATGCCTGAAAGGTATGCATCCACCTCCACTTCGGCCGTTTCGCATCGCTTTAAGGCTTCGATGTTGGCCTTCGACAGCGGTATGACTAGTTGGCCTGAAGTTGTATATATAATATTAGATCTCAGGGTATAAGTGTGTACTGTTCTAAACAGCGGCGCAATTAAGGTGGTGTTAGGGATTGGGGCACCATTCCTTTCCAATATTTGGAATTTTTTTCTTTCAAATTCTACGCAACACATGGTTACATAATTTATATGACAATCTATGTCCATATACAACATATGCACTTCACCTAGATTTAACTTATGAAACCCAAATTGCTATTGAGAAAATGTTTTGAAATTTATACCTCAACTCCTAAGAAAATCCAACCTGGTTGCGCCACTGATTCTAACAATCGAAAAGTACGTACTTTGGTATTTTAAGAATTCGGAAGTTGTGCTGTTGGTTTCGCTGTCGAAATGCTGTAGCAAGTCATCGGCGAAATCTGACAGGGTCTCGGACTCGTCCCAAATATCATGACTCCGCTGATGTGTTTTAAGACTGGCCTTTCCCGGGAACGACTTGTTGCAATTCGGTCGGTCACACGTGTACAGTTTGTCGGCTGAATGTGTCCGCTTGTGCGTTTTCAGATGATGGCTCGCCGTAAACGCTCGACCACATCCTTCTTCTGCGCATCTGAAAATCATGACAATAAACGGACGCATAATAATGACAGTATGTATGTTAATTTGTTCAAGATTGATGTTAATATCTTTCTACGTATGTTATAATATTATGTAAGCTATAAGGTAAAACATTTTTTTGAATAATCCTATCTTTGACAGGAATATAGGATCAGTGTCGTAACTTGTAAGCTATATACTTATTAGTTATTAGTTATAGTAGTATTATGACATACTTAAAATTTAAATTTGTAAATTATAATAGGTATTGTATATTACTTGTACGGTCGTTCTTGGGTGTGCGTTCTATAATGCTTTTTTAGATCACTAAAAGTTGTAAAACACTTGCCGCAGCCTGCTTGTATACAGTCGAAAGTGTCACCAGTGTGCAAGCGTTGATGAGCTCGTAGCCTGTACTACAAACAACCGTAGGTCCATCATATTTCTAAAAGATTACTGAAATAACTTGAATGAGATAATCGAAATCTTTACCTGTAAACGGTGTTAAAGGCTTTTTGACATTCCTCCTTGGTGCAAACAAATGGTTTTTGTTTTGTATGCACACGTTCATGGATCTTCAAACTATATGACGTCAAAAACGGTTTACCGCAGTCAATTATGTTACACTTGAACCGGTATTCACCTAACAATGAATATTCATACAGTTCATTGCAATGCATTAATGTATAATGTATGATGTAAATTTAAAATTTAAACCTCAATGATATACATTGTATTGAAAAAAATGTTCTGACATTGGGGCTCGTTTTATTGAAATATGGTTAAAATTGTTTTTTTTTATATTCCTCCACGCTTTACATTCTTTTGCAATATTTTTCGAATTTATTAAAACTAAAATAAAATTACATTCTTAACGATCAGAATTTAATTTATGGTTGCATCACTCTATAAGTATACAAATGATGAAATGATGATAACATAACTACACGAGTTACTTTTGCACTATTATAGTTAGCAATTGTAAAAAAAAATCATGGACGCAAGACAATCGTATAGAATATATATTATGAATTATTATAGTAAATTTTAATAAATTATTTAAAATCTTGTGATGTCGGTACTATAATCCAACATATTATAATAATATTATATACTATATTGAGTTGATTTAATAAAAATAATCAAAAGGTAGCAAATAATAATTGCAAAATACAATTTTTAATTACCTACCTATAAAGTGAAATATTGGCTTCTAAATTAAAAAATAATTTACTTCAATAAACATTGATTATGTACCACACACTATATTATAACATAATATACCTTTAATATTGTAAATTGGAGTACAATAAATATTAAATTAATAAATATAGATAGATACTAAATAGTATATATTTTTCTATTTTACTCATATAATACATTTTGTTTAGCACTTATCTTCTAATATTTACACACCTTTATGTGTCTTCATATGAGTACGGAGATTTCCCACGGTGCTGTACGTTCTTTTGCACCCAGTGAATTCACAATAATGTCTTTTAGTATCCGACTGGTCCGGCGGAGTGTCGTTGCTGAATGAACTTTGAGATAAATCGTCCTGAAACCCTTCTTGTAATGTAATATCATTTTGTGGTTTGACGTCATATTGCACATAACTATTTGTTTGATAGTTGTAATGGATAAAACTGTAAAATAAACATTTTTGAAACTACTTATATAGTTATATAATATGTATAATTGTAAATTAGAACTAACTAATTATAGGGTAGTTAATAACATACATATTATTTTAAAGTATATAATGTATAATGTATAATATATAATGTACCTATATAATATTATAAGTAGGTATAATATAATAATTTATTTTAGTATAAGGTATCTTACATATTAATATAGGTATTCGTATTAATTAAGGCCTAAAGTATACTGCCATACTGTTATACTTTTATGTCATGTATCATTGACCATTGTACATAGTTTATAGTAAACATTTTGAGGTATCCTGTACCTACGCCCTACATTAATTTAACACTATTATTTGAATAAAAGCTACAACATTATCTGTTCAGTGTACTTAACAACAGACAACTAGACAAGCAAACTTAACTATGTACTTGTATAAGTTATATATACATCATTGTACGTACTAGAAAATACAAAATAGTCTCTTTAATGATGTGATGTTTTTAAACATGACATTAAAATAGTTATGGCATAATAAATATGCAGTACGATGTTATGTTTAATGAACATTGCATACATTGACCAATGTTGAACTATTTCCAAAATTATATTTTTGCAATAATAGTTATAAGCTTAAAAGAAAATAAATATATATGTATATGTATGTATAGCTTTAATTTAAGAGAGAAAAATAATAATTTATGGTAGCGCTGAGCCTATATAGGTATTAACATATTTTAGAAAAATATAATTATTACTATGAACTACGATCAATAAGGCTGGGAATGTAATGCCCTTAAAAATGGTTTTTCTGTCCTAAAAGTTTAAAATAATGCACCTATAAATTGTAATTGTTTTGCTTTAAACAAGTTTTAATAAAGCTTAAACCAAAAATATATTTTTTTATTAAATTAAAAAAAAAGTTTTGCAGGATTTCAACATTTCAAGTCATCTACGTGGAATTAATCAGAAAAGAAAATTATTCTTATTTAATTTTCCATCTCCGCTCTTCATCGCCATTTTACCTCTTACGGATTCGTTTGAAAAATAACAATTAATAATATTTGATTAAATAAAAACCTTGTTAGCATATTACAAAGATACTTTCTAAATAAAATTTAATACAGGATTTTAGATTTTAATGCCTTATAAACCCTAAAATGATCTAAAACAATACCTCAACATTTTAAATTGTCAAACAATTTTAAAAATAAAAACTTCTTATTCTAATTCAAAAATACATGAAAGATGAAACGTGCATGTTATAAAATCACTAATAAATATCATGTATAATGTATATATAACTTAGAAAAATAGTGCAAAATGCACCGAAATCCAATGCAGCCCTATAGTAATCAATAGTTTATAAACTTAACCGTGGTGTAATAAAGTTATTCAGTAATTATTTATGTCCGTGTAGATGAAATGGATACATTCAGCCATTTAGGTATAGGTCCTATAAAATATATAATACCATCAGGATATTCTCAAAAAGAATTGCTATAGTGACATGATACTAAAAATGTCCAACAGACTTTATTTTGTGATTCAGGTGAATAAATCAAGAGAACTTGCAACTATACCTATCACATTCATACAAATAAACGATTTAGGTGCCCAAGTTTGAAGTTTAATACACTTTGTGCATGCTTCTTATCAATTATAATGAACGAAAATGTATTGTTTTAGTCTAAAGTTAATGAATCATTTTAAATTTAAAACAAAATACAAAATAATACAAAATTAATCGTTTTGTTTTTATGAGCACTACAAGACGTACATTTTATATTATTTATACAGATATAAAGTAATAAATATGCGAATGTAGGTACACGCCAAATAAAAAATTATGCAAACCTAGTCGTGTTTTCATCAGTGTATAAATAAATATAAATTAAATTATATGCGATATGCCATAAGTCTAAGATATAAAGCTAAATGGATTTTATAACTTAAATTGACGATTATATAATATAAATGACACAAATCGTTAGTTTATTTTTCTGTAAATATTATGTATGTCATTATTACTTAATCTATATCAAATTATTTACCTATTGTATTAAAATGGCTCAAATATTTAAAATTTTCATAAAGTTGGAATTTCTAACTGATATCATTGTAACCGTGATTTATTAATTTAATATTTAACTTTAATAAAAATTAAAAATATAATGGGACAACTTTTGATGCTACGTAGTTGCGTGAAATTAATAAGATACATTCTGATAAATATATTCAACAAAATATGTTGGCTAGGTCACTATTTTTGATGACCAACGGGAGTTCAGGTTGTATCGTCATAAACTGCAGTCTTAAACTGCAGTATTATAAAAACGAGTTGAGCTAAAGTAACTAATTTTATTTTTACATAATATAAAATCGTAAGTTCAAAGAATATGACTTGATATGTTAAAAAAAAATTACAAATATACAGAAAGTCTCAAATGGTGTTAAAAAATGGAGCTAAAATACGAAAACAACACAAAATATCAAAATGTCTCGTTTAGGTATATCATAATTATATGCTCTATGCGTGACATATGAATTATAAATTATCTTGCAAGTGTTCAATGTATATAGTGTCTAATCTATGGTACACCTATAAAATCACTTGTAGTTATCTAATGTTGTTAAAAATATAAAATAAATAAATAACCTATACTCTATATAGTAAATAGTAATATAATAATAATAACGAAACTTTACTTTGAAAGATTTTATGTACCTATAACTAATGGACATTGAAGTTAAAATTCTAATTCAAAAAACATTGTATATAGATAGGTACCAACTTTTTTCATACAGTCTTTGTGAGTATTATTTTTCTTAACGCCTCAAGTTATGTGTTATTTCAATAATCGACATTGTTTTAATCAAAATTCCATTAATTATTAATGTAACAACACCTACGTATTTAAATTTGCCAATTTCCTCCATACAATACTACAATGAGTCATAAAGTCACAACATATTACTATTACTCTAATAGTTTAAAAGTAATCACTAATCTTATGACGTTTGTGTGGGTTAACTGTTTCAAGTAATTTTCCACATTTCCACATGCTTAGCAATTTAGGAGTTTATGAGTAAATATGTTGGGTAAATTACTTTTGAAAAGTAATAAATTACGTTACTCGATACATTAAATATTTTTATTTAGATTACATTCGTGTTACCCGATATTATTTTTATCACGTAACGTCACATTTATATTCAAAAACTAGGGCGTTTCAAATAAAGTTACTTTTTCAAAAATGAATTACAAAATCTTTCCATAACGACTATAATGAGTAGTAGGTATACTATTATAATTACTATATAAATTGTATTAGTATTAAATCCTGGAATCTTTAATAGGTAATATTGTTGATTATTATATAAAACTTTCGGAATCGTATGTAAAATATTGTATGGTTTTTTAATTTTTCTCAAATATCCTAGCCCCTAGCTGTTGTCACATGGTCTACATTCATAACTTATTTTAATAACGTGGAAAATAACACGTTATCTATAGAAATTACGTTTAAAAAGTAATTTCGTTACAATTACGTTAATTTAAATAAAATATAATGAAATTACTAAAGTGTTACTGTACCTAAAAGTAATTTCGTTTCAATAATTTATAATTTGCGTTAGGTACGTTATTACCCAACACTGTAAAAATATATTTTTTGTTTCTTAATTTCTTATATAGGTATCCTAGCCATATTATTTATTAACTAAAACACACATCTGAGTCAAATATTTGAACCTACATGATAACAAATAACGTACACATTGCACAATGCATCATGATGAAACAGATTTTAATCGATATAATTGGCAGCTAGTAGATCAACAAAACTAATATCCATTATTAAATCGTAGTTTAATCTTCTACCATATTGAATTGGTGTAACACGTTCTGTCAAAATATTTACAATCACTTGGTTTTAATTTATATCAGGTTAAAAAATGTGCGTACCTAGGATATCTGTTGCGCAGTACTAAGGATATTATTATACACTTTTATTTCATTGAAATAAGACATGAGTATTTAAATATGTCGCGGTTTGATTAAGTATTTATGGGTGGAGGCGTAAAGTGGAAAAGAAATAGGAACACACTATTATAATATTGTAGCATCATAATATATACATATACAAGACGCGTGTGTTTCGAATGACTAGCCTGCGCGGCGGTTAACATATTACAGCGTGGGACGATCCGAAAGTCGTGAATTTCATATATCGGAGACTACGTCAGAATACACAGCAAAAATTTAGCGACTGACGACGACTTTTCCTCGGTGGTCTTCGAACACACGACGGAAACATAATAATATTACAACAAAACGTACGTCGTCAAGGTATTCGTACGATCGTACCACCGTATATATATAATAAACTCAGGTAGATGCGCACACCTGTCTGGCTGTCTGTGCGACTGTGAATGATGCCAATATTGCCAATACGAAGCAGAATTAAAATTAAAAATCGTCCGCCACGAGCATAATATTATAATAATATCAGAATATGGTTCGCGGAGTCTTACAATGCCTTAGCTACAAGAACAGTAGGTAAGCTGTATACCTATACTGTACCAATATATTATATATATATTTAACAGTCGAGGAACTCGCCAAACCATCAGCTCAGCGAGATCCACCTCAAGTGACCGCGTCCTCACGGGTCACTTGGTCCTCGGTCAGGTCGGACTCTAAACCCAAACACTTGAAACACGTAATGTAATATACTTATGAGTTATGACATTCCATAATGACATAATGTTATATAAACGCACTGACCTGTACTCGGTATTACAGAAGAACGCGGCGCCGCTGCGGTCCTCGCCGTCTTCGTCTTCCGCCGTCCTCGGCTGCTGTTGCTGCTGCGGCGGCGGAACAACGGGACTCGGCGACTGTTGCTGTTGCTGCTGCTGCTGCTGTTCCGGGCCGTTGTTGTAAACGAGCGCGACCACTTGTTCCATCACGACCACAATGCATAATAACCGACGGACCCCTCAATCGCCTTACTTCCGTCACGCGCGGTGATGATATTATTACGTCGAAGCAGCGGGGCGGTGAACGCGATCGTTTCACTAATCACGCTCGTCGGCGGTGATGAGAGCTGCTGCAGTGGAATAAACGCACGAGCGAAACGCGTCTCGGAAACGTGACACCGCCGCAACAGTTCGGCCACGGCGGTGGCGGCGGCGACGGCGTCGGGCAGTCATCGGCCGGCTGGTCGTGGTGGGAAAAAGACGTGGGCGCGGACGCGGAGGAGTCGAAAATACGTAAATGACGTGGCGGCGACCTTGGGCCACGCGACGGTGGCCGACTGTAATACGGTGGTGGCCGCCGCAGATGGCAGATGGTCAGCACGCGCCAAAATAATAAAATCAAAACCGACGACGACAAACCCTTTTCGCGCGCCGCGCACGACGACGACAACGACCGCGATGCGGCCGCCCGCTCGACCGCGTTCGCGTCGGCGGCGGCAGCGGTCCTCGATCTCGGCACGGCGACGCGCGCGCGCCGAGCTCTACATTTTCAATTATATTGTAGAGTATTATTATATCATATGTTTAAAAATAATACTCGCCGCCGACCGTTTTTTTGGCATGCGCAATGTTTACCGGACAATAAACAATATGGTTTTTTTTTACTATTTACACGCCCCACACGTCCAACCTGCACCATGCGTGTATACTTTGTATTGTTTTTACGATGTAGCCAATCATATTAAGTTTTAACTTTGATTCAAACTCGTGTATATTATTCAATATAATAATTACCATATTATAAAAATATAAAATGTAAGTATTTAGTATACTTTTACATAATAATATACTATACATAGATATTATAGCTAGCCATAAATATTATAAGTGCAAATTGCATATACCTCTACTCTATATAAGGCAACCATTTTACTATGAAGACGTTAGTTTACCTAGAAGCAATTTGTTTAATGAGTATAGGTATGTTCCCACTTTTCATAAATATATTAAATAACTTTACTTAAAAACTAAAAACAAATAAAATAAAAACTCAAACTAGCGCATGTGCAAAAGACAATAATAATAATAATAATATATACCTACACATATTTTGCATTTAAAAACGAGTTTTGAATAAAATATAAACTTTTATTGAACTGTTTAATACTTTTACCTTCTGTCTAATAAACGATAACGTATAGGTACCATAGGTACCTAAATATATTATATTCATTATTCAATAATATTAAAATAATAACTCAGACATATTATAATACTAAACGATATATTATTATGTATCTGTATTTAAGATTTTAAATAACTAATAATTCATAAGTACCTCTATAACTATTAAATATAGAAATATTAAAAAAAAAACATACGTGAATTCCCAAAGTGTTAGTGAGTCATACATAGGTGAATTTGAAGTTTTTGCCAAGTTCTTCAACTATTATATAGTACTAAAACTTTACTATTCACTAATTTTTTTTTTCATTGCCTATATCTTGAATATAGTATTATAGTATATACCTACCAAAGGGTTTTATGTTTACTAAGAGTGGCTTAGTCTAGTGGCTTAAACAATTATCCATCGATCTGTCGAATAAAAATATAAAAAAAATAATAAAACTATCAATAATAAATAATTCCGGATACTTCTTCTCATTTTTTAAATTAATTAATATTTTTTTCTTTCTTTTTCACTCACTCACGTGTACCATTCAAAAGAAGTTTAACTTCCCGCGCGCTTACTGGTAACACACATGGTTTTTTTTTCTTCAAAATGTGTGTTTTCCACGCTTAATGATGGTACTATAAAAAAAAGTTGGTCAAATTTTCTATTGAAGTTATAAGATTAAAATAACTTCAAAACCTTAAGATTTTACATCATCAAAATACCAAAAATAATATTTTGATTTTTTTTTTTAAATGTGAGTTTTTTATCCTTATATTATTTTGGTGAAATCAGAAATTACCTATTGTACTTACTGTATATTATATATTTATATTATTAATAAAGAAATTTAACAAAACAAACTCCCGATGGATGGGAATTCGCAAACTCGTGTATAACGTTAGGTACTAAGTCCGATCGACAAATTCTGTTTGAATCACTGATTGTTCTTAACTCATTGAACAAAAAATGTTTCCAAAAAAAAATTTCAAAATCTAACCACATTTAAGGGTCATAAATAATGAACCTAAATAATAATGGGTTCCTTACATTTTAAGAAATAACTTTTTGGGGGGCGGAAAAACATGTTGCCCGGGGGCGCAAAATGTTCAAATACGGCCCTGAATATGTCTTATACCTAGATTGACCTACCGTCTCCGCTCAGAATCATTTTTCTTATACAATGATATCAATATATCATATCATTGAATTCAAATTTAATACCATCCATTTTACAGTGACCCGCTTGTAACCTACTGTACAGTAGAGCGCCTTTTTACTTTTTATTACAGTATAAAATGGGTTCTCAAGAAATATAGACCTATAAACTAATGGACAGCGCTTAGAGAGAGAGGTCGAGCCGTCGAGGGTACGATAAACAGAATTATGTTTTTTCTCTCTTTCTCTTATTTGGTTCTGCTAAGATTCCCCCAATATGTTCTTACTTCTTTCTCACTCACTCTATATTGGCACCACTCAGTGATGGCTGGGTGATGAGGGAGGCGCAGTCCAATAGTTTATAGGTCTATCGTCTATGTTAAGAAATCTTATATTCAATTTTCAAACATTACCTACCAGGGGCGTATTTATGGGGGTGGCTGGGTGGGCTGCAGCCCCCCCTGAAATTTCAAGAACATCCAAAAAATATGAATATCAATAAAACTTTATTTGTTGGGTAAAAAAGCTTGAAAATTTAATACAAGCTAGGCTCCTGCTTTATTAGTACAATAGCAGTTGAAAAATATTAAAAATCCTTATAGTCATAGTTTTTTTTATAAGCATTTAAAGTTCGAATCTTGACAAAATACGGAAAAATCACAAAACTTAAAATTTTTCTGAATGTTTTCATTTTTTACACACCAAAAAAATTTGAAAATATTTTGCCTCTTTTTGAGCTATTTACGGACATTGACAGTTTTCATTTTTCTTAGTTTTTTTCTATAAATATCAATAAAAATTTTTTTGTTGGGTAAAAAAGCGTGAAAATTTAATTCAAGGCTCCTGATATATTGTAACAATATTGAAAAATATTAAAAATACATATGCTCAATTTTTTCTTATAATCATTTAAAGTTCGAATTTTGACAAAATTTATCAAATTTAAAATGTAATAAATATTTTGTAATTAAAAATTTATAAAATGTTCAACTTTCATAGTTAAGGATTGAAAATTTAAAACAATGGTCCACGTAAATAGGTAAATATATAAATTACTTTATTCACAATAATATCATAGGCTGACTGACCGTTTTCGCTTAGAATCGTTTTTCTTATACGAGTACAATGATATTATATCATTGAATTCAAATTTTACACCATCCATTACAGTACCTACTGTACAGCAGAGCGACATCCACTTTACCACTTTTTTATTTTATTGTGTGACTATGTTGATCATTTTGTTCAGCCCCTCCCGAAATAAAATTCTGGATACGCGCCTGTTACCTACTTAGCTAAATTTTTATTTTTTTTTTGGTTTAGGCTTTGACAACTGAGGTCATTAGCATGTGGAACTATGGAGGAGGGTACTGTAGGTTTTGAACATGTGTGTGTATATTTTTGGCAGAATTTTTAAGTGGGCACCGTGACTGCCCGGAGAAAAATACCGCCCGTGGCAGAGTTCGAACCGGCGACCGCGAGAGTCACAACCAGTGGCGTGTTGAACTCATTTTTGATGAGGAGCAAAACTGCATGCAAGGTACCCACCCACCCACCCCTTAACAAAAATTCCACCACAGCAAAAAATAAATTTTTACAAAATATCTGTAATATTTGTAGATTTGTATAAACGGATGTAACTACTTAATTAGTTAGTTGTACTCATAAATTATATTGTATCTTGATTTGAGTTAGGTATCATTGGCCGGTATAGATATTAGTTAGCACCAATTGTAACTAGACTAATGGACCATAGTACCATATACAACAAACAGCATGCTAGTGCACCAAATTTTTATTATCACATTAAAAAATATAATATTATATTATATTATCATTAATATTATGTTTTATATATTTTGTATAAGTAAAAAGAAGTTATAATAACAAATAACTAGGTTACTAGTATTACTTATATTACAAGTAAGACACATATTCGTATATTTATTAATATTTTCTATCATAAACCTAGTCACCAAGGTAGCTAGGTATTTTGTGGCAAGGGGACCACCCACCCACCAACATTTTGAAGGAGCAATTGCTCCAAAATAATACCTTCTACACGCCACTGGTCACAACCATAGATAATAGAAGATATCTATGGTCAAAACCGACGCCTTAGTCCACTCCGTCCCCTAGCTATATAATATATAGAAATATAAAAATTGGACATTTCATATAATTTTAATAAACAATAATTTTAAATCTTAATGTAATTTCTAAATTTAAAATTCAGACGCTCCTTGAGGAATATTACACTTAATTTTTTTTTATTTCCACTAGTAATAAATTAACTTATTTCCAAGATCGTATCACCGTCACGTCGTATGAGCACAGAATAGATGAAATAGATTGCATCTATTCTGTGGTATGAGGCTATGATGCACAATCAGTAAAGTTGTCTAGCGGTAAAAACATGAAGACTAGAGATATCTCTAATCTTCATGGGTGAAATCAAAATTAAAAAATCAACATTTTGCTTACCAATGATTACAGTGATAACATTTTGCTTATAAATGATTACAGTGATAACATTATGCTGATAGCTAATATAAGATGATTATGTAATGCGTATACAAATTACAAACATGTGCTTCGTTCTAGTCACGATTTAAGATTCAAAATTAATTTATATTTATATTTTAATAATTAATATAAATTATAATTAATATAATTATGGAAGAAGAAGTAACCCAGCCGGATTGTAGTGCACAAACAAGAAAATTGCTTAAAGATATCAAGTCTGGGATCTTAGAAGCCAAAGAATCGACGAATAAGATTATTAACAAAGAGTATAATATTAACGCTTCTAATGGCATAAGTTTATTAGATATAAAATGCCATACATTATTGAGCTATATAAATAATTTGACTCATATTATACTAAAAAAATGCAAGTTTCAATCCATTAAAAACGACCCATCGATTGAACGTCTTGTTGAGCAACGAACTGTTCTAGAACGGATAAGGCCTCTTGAATTTAAAATGAAATACCAAATTGATAAGCTTGTTAAGACAGCATTATCTGGTTCCGTTGATCCTAATGATCCAGATAGATTTCGTGCAACTATTGATGGACTAGCAGATGCAGAAGATCATGAAGAAAATGTAGAATCTGATAATGATGAAGATGGTCATAAAAATTCTAAAAAAGTTAAGGATGGTGTTTATGTAGCACCTAAGGTTACAGCTGTACCTTATGATGGTGATGAGTCACGAGCAGTTAAAAAACAAAAACTGTTAGAAAGAGCAAAAAAGAGAGCACTACAAAGTTCAGTTATGCAAGAGTTACGAGAGGAATATGCAGATACACCAGTTGAAGTACAAATTAATACAGTTGGGTTAAAAAATAAACAGTCCAAGTATGATTATGAAAGGCAGAAGTATGAAGAAGACTATTTTACAAGGTATAAATTAAAATTGTCTCACTTAAAAAATAAATGCTTTTCTATTACTTAGTTTTATCTCTACTAATAAAAATTTTTTTTCTAGGTTGCCAGTTACCAAAAAGGACAAGCATAGGGCTAAGCAATTATCATCAGTTACTCTTGGGAAATTAGGGAAAGAAGTGACACATTTTGAAGACATTTCAGCTCTTGGAGGAAATTATAGTGAAAAAAGCGGGAATAAAAGAAAGAAGAAGTTCAAAGGAAAAAATTTGAAAAAGAAAAGGAAATTTTAAGTTATGGTTTTAAAATATTAAAATTATTTTAATTATGTTTCATTACATTGAAATTAGTTAATATTAAAAGTTCAAATTGCTTTGTTCTATTCCAATATTCATAATGATTTTTTATCTTAACATTTGGTCACTGTATTATTCCGGTTGAAAAATCATGTGTATTTACATTTTACATATTATTAAATCATTTTTGAACATTAATCATAGAAAATAATGCTTATTGTGTCTTGAAATGCAGATTGTATATTTTCTAAATGAAAATTAAAAAAATTATAGAACTACTACACCTCCAAAATCTTAAAAGTAATACCACAGACTATATTATAAAATATATTTCATAGGCAGGTAATATTATAGAACCTTGTTAATAACTCATGCATATATAACGTTTTAGTGTTTATACTGTACTCCATCAAGTGTCAACTGAAAAAAAAAGATTACTTTGTGTATACGACAATACGACAGCAGATCTGCCCGGATAGTTTCTCTTATCAGTTGGATCATTATATTAGGTAGATTTGTAGTAGACAACAATTAGTTTTGGTTTCTAAATACTTATATATACAGTATTAAATACAATTGACATAATATAAAATAAAAAAACTAAAATGATTGTAAACTGAAAATGTCCGTAAACAGCTCAAAACAAGTCAAAATGCTAATATAAACATTCAGTGAAAATGTCATGTATTTACGATCATTTGTTTTAGAGTTACACCTAAAACCAAAATCTATTTTGTTGAGAATAGAAGATATTCTTATGACCATGGACGGTGGACAAAATAGATAGGTCTCAGCAACAATACGAGTTTAAGTCTGGTTACCGCATCCCACCCTTCCTAGCCATGGTTGTAGTTTGACTCATTTCATTACCTTTTAAATTAGCCAGCTTATAAACGGGGTGTGGAGTGGTCAGAGACCATGATGCATATCAAAAAGTTGCTGAGGTATGCTAACAAATATAGGAAGGTAGGCCAAAAAAAAAATTTTGTTTTGCTAAGCTCCAAAATTATAATCTTTATATTTTCCATGTAATAATCTAATATTCTAATATATTATGAATATATAGTATACCTAATAATACTAAGTTTGTAATTAAAACAATATTGAGTGTAAACTGTATTACAATTTACACGTAATAAGTTTAATACGCTGTGGCCATAAAATAATATCTTCAATTTTAATTATGAAAAATTGATTATCAAATCAAATAAACCTACACATTTTGATTATCAAATTAAATACTATGTAATATTCTTAGTAAGTTAAGAAATGTACAGTGTTTTGTTAAATAAAAAGGTAATGTAAAGAAAATAATCTCTGGTAATACAAATAATATTTATTTTATCATAGTGGACTCTGTTCCCACAAAAATTCTTTTTTATATTTTTGACCAGCCTCACAACTTGCAGGACAAGTATAGACAGCTAAAATACCGAAGTTGAATGATTCCTTGGTTGAAGATTCTGGCAATTTTAAATAGTACAGCATTTGTGGCATTATCTTAAAATATAATAGAATAATAATTTAAAACTTTATTAGGTAATTTAGTTTAGATTTAACATACTTGAAATTCAAAACTTCTTTGTTTACCACAAAATTGGCAAGATGGAATATCATTAGCCTCAGGAATACGTTTAGTACAGATCCACAATGGCGACTCTAAACGATTGTACCTACAATGTTTTTAGTGGTTGATTAAAATTAATATTTTTATATTAGAACTGTTTAAGAAATCATTATAAAATACCTAATAACTTGTTCAGGAACTGAGGATATTGATTTTTTAAACTTTTCAAAATATTCGTCATCTTTGTCACCCCCATAGGCCATTTCTAACAGAGCTTCATCTAAACCATCCATATCTATGTCAAACATAAAATAAATTATGAAACAATTCACCAAATCTTTATTTTCATATTCTACCTTGAAGAGAGCCTTTTGGAATTTGAGCCTCATCACTATTTTCACTATAATCACTATCATCATCCTCACTATTCAATGATGCATTTTCAGAACCTTCATCTGACTCCTCATTAATAATATGTTCTGGTAACACCACAATGAATCTAAATGGTATGTTATTTATCATTATATTATGATGTTTGTATATCAAAAAGGACATCAATAAATATTTAATACATTACTTGTCTCTCAATTCTTTATTTGAATCAATATTTTTGTGATGTAAACTGCAATAGATATTTTCATATTCCACTGTGGACTTGCACCCGCATACCTTTAAATTAAAAACAACAACAATTTTAAAAATATACCTATTTTTTGAGTGAAATATTTGTTATATATCAAATATATATACATTAAAACACTATAGGCATTCCCTGAGATATTTCATGAATACATACTTTACATAATTTTATTCCCCACATATCCGGTGTAATATCTGGATCATTGGGTTCAGCTGGTTCACTTGAATAGTAATCATTTTTTTTACGAAGCTGTGACCTGAAGACAGCAAATGTTCTTCCGCCTTTGCATTCATTGCAATAGAACACATACAAGGTTCGATGGAAACAAGAACCACGAAATTCGGGTTCATCAATTGGTGCATACAACTGACACAAGAAAACTAGAGGAATATTACACTTCAAACAGGCCAGCTCGCTTGCCTCTGGAATATGTTTCAAATCTAACCAAGCTGGTTTACCGCCCACTTTGGATGGAAAAAAACGGCTAGTAAGACTAAAAGATTCAGTGGTAGAATGTTCGTCAATAGTACCCAGCATAACAGACATGATTATCGAAAATTTAGATACAATTTTTAAATTTAAATTTTAAATAATACCATCTATACCCACAGTCCACACGCTGCAGCCACACAATTTTTAAATTTAAATTTTAAATAATACCATCTATACCCACAGACCACACGCTGCAGCCACACTACAACTTACAAGTTACAACCAATATATTTTCTATAGTTACAACTATACTATACAGATAGTAGAATAGTAGATACTATTTTTTTTTATAAACAGAATTACAGAACTGCCGTAGACGTGCTTGTATGAGAACTTTACTGCAACCATAGGGCATAGATAATAAAGTATAAACCACGAACTATGATTATCGTGGTATAAACAGATATTATCTACCAAATACCGCTGAATAATATATAATACTGATAATACTAATAGGTCTTTACCAAGAGGTAAATAATGGTAACATGATAAATTTACCAATTGGAAGATTGGTAAGTGGTAACACAAACATATTATCAAGAACGACAAGAACAATATTATGCATTTATGCCCATTGCCCATGGATATTATCTATGTTTATGCCCAAGCCCAATATTGTTCTATAATAGGCAATAGCCATTAGCCATGATTGTCTCATACTCTCATGTCTGTACCAACTGCCAATGTCCAGATGTCCAATAGTCATAACTTATAAGAAATAATAATATGTCATATTTATGTCTAACTAATAACCAAAGGCAATATAGTCTTTGTAATAACTATAATACAGTATACATAGTATTGTAATAAGTCGTAAACTAATAACTTTATTTAGATAGGTACATGAATCCCCTGACTTTATGAGCATTAGAATTTACTATTTAGTGCAAAGCGCATTTCCAATTTAAATCCACTTTGCATTTTAGACCATAGAGCTCCATAAACCATGAATCACGATAATTGTTTACTGTTAAGTTGTTTTAAGTTTATCGTAGAATGAACAGGTGAATGGTGTTAGGCCCGTGATTTTAATGCTTGACAAATAGAAAAAATGACACATTCAGAAATTAACATTTAATTGTATGTCTTAGGTACATCATTTTTAATTTCAAAGAATGATTATTTTGAAAAAGTGGCGATTTTATGTGTAAATTATAAACTTTTGAGTGTAGATCTGGATGCAGACTATAGTTAAATAGAAAAATTATTTAGTATTATTATATTATTAAAAAATAATATTCAATAGGTACCTCCTATTTTTCAAGATCTAGGGGAAAACCCTACTCTAACCAGACAGTAATAAAAATGGTTTATATCACTTAACTAGAAAATTCATAATCCATGATAAAATAAATTGAAATAATTTAATTTGCTGTACTATATCCGCGTTTTTGATGGATGTACGATTTTGAGAGGAGGTAGTCCGTCAGACTATTATTTCTAAGGATACTTTTTTATTAATTAATATTACTATTAGTAATACGGTTTTGGTTGAATTATTTTTTACTGGAACCATTGCAATATACCATAGGTATAATATGCATATATCATATTATTATTGTTAGGTATTAACTTTTGAGAGAATCGACAAATTATTTCCGTATAATATTAAGATCGTCACAGATACCTTGAATTTAATCTGAGTAGGTACCTATTTTATTATGAAAAATGATTTGATAGGTTTATTGTAAATGTAAATAATAATATACGAAGTGAAGTATGGTATCAAGTCCATAAAAATATTTTTTTAATTATGTACAAGTTGTACAACAAAATAACTAAAATCGTATTGTTTTTTGTTTAAATATCCTATGTCCCATACTCCCATGTGTAAATTTAAATTTTAAAGTCTACAAAAAATTGGTCTCATGACGTATTCTTAACACTTTTAAATTTCCATAAAAACAACTGGTAACAAGCGGTATTTGCCGCTATAGATTTGTTATAGCCCAGCCATCTATATAACTATAAATACATCGTATAAATATAAAATAATAAAGTTAATTTATTGATATAAATCTAATAATTTGATGATAGATATACTTAATATTAAAAAATGTATACAATTGTTTATAATGTTTATAACAATAAACACATCTTATAAATATAAAATAATCAATAATCATTGTTATATTATTGATTATTAGGGAGGTACCTAAAAGTAATGGTACGTATTTTCTGTAGAATTATTTTATATTTATACGATGTATTTATTGTTATATGGATGGCGGGCCTATAACAAACATGAGTGGCGGGGTTATAACAAACCAGTACCGTTTTTTGTTCCCCAGGTTCTAG